CAGGCACACCTATAATTCGTCTTTCAAATAACATCATTAGTCATTAAGATGTAAGTATTTGTAAACATGTGCAGAAGCATATGGGAAGAGCTATACTACTTATCTCACTGAAACTACATTATGTCTAAACTGTTGCTCAAATCACATCTTCTTTTATTAAGAGGTCTGTTTGTAAAGTTAAGTGCAGCAGTATATAGGAATAGCCCTGTGCTTATCTCATTGAAGTTTCACTGTGTATAACGTGTCATTCAAGTAACATCTTCTTCATTAAGATATAATACACAATACACACATATACCACCCACATGTTATTAAAAAAGAGAGAAAGTTTCTACAATTAATTAAGTTTTAAGTAAATTTTCTGGATTGTATAGGAATGACTTGTTTTCACACAGTATGAATGGAATTTAAACTTTATAATGATGCAGTTAACTAGATCAATGTAGACAGTGCAGATAAATGTGTCTTTAATAATTTACACTAATCAAATGAACCAAATCTCCTTTCCATTTGGGCTATACAGAAGGTCTAGGAATAGCTTTCTCCTGAGGGCATCTTCCTTCTAACCTATGATTGAGGAACAACCCATGCCTGCATGGGTTCAGGAAAGGTTCAAACTTCTCTACATTTTTCATGTGCAACCTGAGTAAATGAATTAGATATTGCTGAACACTGTAATCATTTGAAAAGAACACACAGCAGCATTGGTTTGGCAGGGACTGATTTAGGGTCTGCACTTCCTGTTTCTTTACTTCTTTACTTTCTTTACTTCTGTCCTGGTCCTATGTCCTAGCTAGGTCCTGACTCTGCCGTGTAGGTCTGATTTTTGTGCTTTTCAAATTGCATGAACTAGAACAGAGGCTCAGCATCAGTCCATTACTATTGTCTAAGATAAAGAGAAAGATGCAATGTAATGAGCAAATTTCATCTGCCATCTTTTCAGTTTGAGAAATGGCTGGGATAATTTAAAAGACTAATTCCTAAAACTCAAATAACAAATTAGTAACTGCAAATTTTAATATATTTTTAAAAATTTTAGATGACCCTATTTGTTTGAAAAATCTAAAAGACTCAAAGTCAAGACTTAATATTAAATAAAATATCCTTTCAATTAGAGGAGATTCATGAAGATTATACAGATTAAAAGAGGATAAGAAACTATAAGAAAATAATACAAGAAATGCATATGGCAGTCTGTGACGTAAAGTTTGTATATATTATTCGCAAAGGAGTTAACACTGCTTTTTAAACCTTTAATTCACTTGTGTTATGACAGATTAAATTTTATGGCCTGTATTAGTTAACTTCGGATATTAATAAAATGAAGAGGACAGAACTAAATGTGAGTTAGTCTTGGGCAAAAGAGGTAGAACAGAAATGGCTCGCAGCACCCAAGGAGCCATGAATTGTTAAGACCAAGCAGCCAGCACCACAGGAATGTGCACCTCTCTGACAAATGTTCACTTCAGTCCAGAAAGACATCATGGCAACAGTTACATACAGAATATGTACTGGTCTCTTTTCACAGCTTAATTTGTTTTAAGTGTCATCTTAAATTTCATTTCAGTATCAACTTAAGTATCATCATAAAAATAGATTTATGATCTAATGGATCCCACAGTCTAGCTGGAGGAAAGTAAAAGCAATAAAGACAATACAGAATCAAGTATATCAGAAAGTGATATGTGCTATCAAATAACCAAGAAGTATTACCCTAGTAAATCTACTTAGTAATAATCTAGTGGATCTATATAGTATTTTCTCTTTAATAGGAGTCTATATAAACTTTATGGAAATCTATATATGAACAGTTATTCTGTTTATTACCAGATCATATTTCACGTCCTCTGAAGCCAGAAATAAGGTAATTCACTAACTGCAGCAACTACAAAATAACATTAGGTTTAGAACTTCAGAAATGTCCTTTCTTGGCTAATAGGAACCACATTTTAGAACTAATATTAAGTTATTTGCTGTCATCTTCTATGTATCTGAAATTTATTTTTAACTCAACAAAATTTTCAATTATATGACAAAAAAGATCACAATATTTTATAAAGTATGACACGTATGTATCATGTTTTATGTTATTTTTTTCATGCCATGTATCTTCCAAATCAACTTGGCAGAGTATTTGGGCAACAGTCTACGAATTTAAAAGGAAAATGAAATCACATTAAGATGCAGTCTTAAAATAGCTGAACTGAGGATTAGTATTTAATTGAGAGGCTTTTGACTTTGCCATGATTTTGAAATAAAGCAGAACTTTTTAAACTTGCTTTTCCAGATATTTTAACCATGTGGCAAGTTTCATTCTGCTCCTGTTGCTGTATTTATCCATTATATTTTTAGGCTAATGGAACTGAAAACTTATCTTCACTGCATAAACAAAATCAAATAAATAAGCCTTCAGACATTACTAAATCCTGAAGGGTATTTGAGAAATTTGAAATCAGATTCTACATTTAATAAGTGTATCCAGAAAAACTAGGCCTCTCTGACAAAATATAGAGGTAAAGAATAAAAAGCCTAAGTGCAGATGTAGAAGATGAGGAGAGTCAGTAATCTGGAATGTTCTGGCTGAAGGTAATAGCTTTTCTCAACTGCAATATTTTTACGAAATGGTGGTTTTTAGAAGTATGTTAATCTTAATCCCATTTATTAATTCAAAAGATAGTTACTGAGTATCTACCACATGTTAGGCAGTCTTCCAGATGCCTCACAGACGTTAATGAATAAGAGAGATTTATGACCTAATGAATCTTACACTTTTGCTGGAGGGGAAGTAAAAGCAATAAAGACAACAAATGAGCAAGTATATTGGGAAGGGATACGTGCTGTACAATACACAGGAGTACTACCTTAGTAAATCCAGTCAGCATTCCTCTAGATCTATACAGTATTTTCTCTTTAATAGGAATCTATATAATTTCATAAATTTCACTATTTATTTATTCTATATCTAATCTAGGAAATATATAAAGTATGGTGAATACTACATAGTGCATAGTATATCTTCTTTTAAAAATTACTTTATCAGAAATTCTATAAAATCAGACTGGTAGTTGTATCAAAGATAGAGAATTTTATCACCCATAGAAAACAACAGATGATGATGATGATGATGATGATGATTGTTATTATTTTAAAGATTTTACTTATTTACTTGAGAGAGAGAGCACAAGAATTTGCCCAGTGAGAGGAAAGGGAGAAGCAGAGGCCCCACAGAGCAAGGAGCCCAATGTGGGGCTTAATCCCAGACTCCCAGAGCATGACCTGAGTGGAAGGCAGATGCTTAATGAACTGAGCTACCCAGGTACCCCAAAAACAGCAGACTGAAAATGACATTTACATGGTCTCCATATTAGGTCTGACCAGTGACAGATAATAAGCTAAGAGAGAAGACACAAAACCATTCTAAGTCCACAGCTAACATGTAGGTTCATCCCTGGGTATCCTTATAGTTCTTATTGGAAGAGTTTTGAAAAAGACCAGTTTTTAACTTTAACTTTTACAAAATTACAAAACTAACCAAAATCTGTAGAGGCCACTTGTCAGAGATATGTTTACCAAATTATGCAGAGCACCTAAATGATCATTGTTCATTGAACTGAAGCTACATGTAGGCTTCCCAAACTTGAACTTTCATTTGGGTTTTAGGATGACGGACTGGCTTTCTGCAATATGCCATTTATAGGTGTTGGTTAGATGACGTCTGTGCCTGTCGTACTGGTCACTAACATCAATTTGAAAGACCTCAGGAATTTAGCTCTGTATATGATTTCATGGTAACAAATTAACCTAACTCTTCATTTCTCAAATATGAGTATCATTTCTCTGAATAATACAAGTCATTTTCTGGGGTGCCTGCATGGCTCAGTGGGTTAAGACTCTGCCTTCGGCTCAGGTCATGATCTCAGGGTCCTGGGATCGAGCCCTGCATTGGGCTCTCTGCTCAGCAGGGAGCCTGCTTCCCTCTCTCTCTCTCTGCCTGCCTCTCTGCCTACTTGTGATCTCTCTCTGTCAAATAAATAAGTAAAATCTTTAAAAAAAATACAAGTCATTTTCCATTTTCCTGTGATCCTACTGCCATGAGGATCATGACTGACCTATTTCAGAATATTTCATGAATGACCTATTTCATGAATGACCTATTTCCATTTTCCTGTGATCCTACTGCCATGAGGATCATGACTGACCATCATCAGAACTCATGACTGACCTATTTCAAACTCTAAAAATGGGTTTAATATACATGATATGTACAGCACGATATGATATCAGAGAAGTGGCCAAAAAAGGGCAATAATTGTGGTGGCCTAAAATTAATTAAAATGATAATCCAGTAAAAATTCAACCATTTTTTTGGACTACTTGGGTTGGTGTCTTCTACTGTAACATCCTCAGGCCCAAATCTAGACCTGATACATAAAATATACATCAGGACGTGGTTGCAAAGATTGCTTGGAGACCAGTCTGTAACCAACTGGATACAAACTCTTCAATAACTGCACCCAAGGGCAGAGTTTACACTTTGCCTCTACAGATGCAATTAATAACAATGCAGGGCAGTTCTCTTCTCCCTGTTTCCTGAGCCTGTGTCTTGAATAAGAATACAAGAAAGAGAAAAACATTTTCCTGAGTATTCTCACATGTATAGTTTGAGGGATTGTGGTAAGGAGAGTGTAGTGCCTCCTGGATGAAGATCTGGGAGTGGTTTGTCCTCTGATTATAAGAGCTATTTTAATCATATTTTTAAAAAATTTCCCCAGTTTTCAATAGTATCTCCTCTCTTCTCCATTTATGTCAAGACCTGAAAAATGATTATTCATAAAGTAGCTAATATCCAGGTCATCTCTAGTCGGGCTCGAAAATGAGGCCCCTCTTGGCAATGGCAAGAGTTTGAACGGTTAAGAGGTATCAGTGGCAGATCCCCTGAGTGCAGTGAAAGGAGACCCACGCATAGTAAGTCTGCGCACACAGGTGGATGGCAAACTCACCTTGGCAAGCTCCAGTGCGGATGTTGGGGATAAAGCCCCGTCGACAGGGCTGAGGCTGGGCAGGACACATCTCACAGGGGTGGCCCCAGGCCCGTCCAATGGTGGCACAGCACAGAGTCTTAGTGCAGACAATCCCTGTCAGCTGCCCTTGGCACATCTGGTTGTTGACCTGAGTGAAACAAGGGCCTGTCCTGTAATCTGGAATGTGAAAGAAGACAGAAAGACAGGTTTTATGACCATGTACCCATCTTACACCAGTAGCTCCAAATACATAAAACAGAGGCGATTTCTTCTGACTCAAGTGTGTAAAGACAAAAGGATGGAAAGTTTCATTTTGAAAATTCCTAATTTTTCAATCATGAGGACTGCATTAGGAGACTTCAACGCACTTTACTACAGACATTGTAAATGGGTAGCTCAAGGGCTGTGTCTGGGACACAGATGTATTTTCTTGGCCTGAATCATGTTCTGAAAGAATTTAAATTAGTAGCCAACATTTTTAAATTGGGAAATTTCACATGAAATTTCTACTTCTGGCTTTTCTTGCAAGTTGGAAGATCTGGCCATGCTAGGCCTGCCATTCTACACAGTGTGGGGGAGAGAAGTGTGTCCTCCTCTCTGACACCAAGTCCCACCCAACGCACATCCAGCAGTCTCCTCTCACTGACATCTGTCACCTGAACACTGCTGGGACCTGCTCGCAGGACTCTCTTTACCTAGCCAAGATTTTCTTTCCTGACTGCATGGACACGAGATTGGAAAATCAGAAGAGAACCAATAATGGTATACCCTTCCGTATCACAAATATATCTGAGCAGTCTAGTATATCTGTAAACATTAAGTCCTAACAATTTGATTTTTGTGTCCATGTCAGTCTGTTTAGTTTGGCGTGTAGTTCAGCTAGGAAGACTGTGGCAATAAGGCCCACTCTCATGGATTCTTTCTAGGTAAGTTATTATTATATAATCTCTGTACTATAAAAGACTTTACCATTGTCCAACTGATGAACACATCAGCAAATGCTAAATAGGCAGACTTCTATGGATATTAAGGATGATCTATTGGGACTTTTGCATCTCAAATGTGATCCACAGACCAGCAATATATGCCTCACTGGGGAGGTGTTTAGGCAGGCAGACTCAGGCCCCACCCTAGACTAACTGAACTAGAACTCCACTTCAACACAATATTCAGGAGATTCATACACACATTCAAGATTAAGAAGTACTGATCTAGACTCCAGGCAACTTGAAAGTTAGGCATTCTGGCTCTGGCCCTCTTTCTCCTATAATTTTTTTTTTAAAGATTTTATTTATTTATTTGACAGAGAGAGATCACAAGTAGAGAGGCAGGCAGAGAGAGAGGGGGAAGCAGGCTCCCTGCTGAGCAGAGAGCCCGATGCGGGGCTCGATCCCAGGACCCCGAGATCATGACCTGAGCCGAAGGCAGAGGCTTAACCCACTGAGCCACCCAGGCGCCCCATCTTTCTCCTATAATTTACTGCAGTGAACCTTTTAGATGATCAGTGTCTACTCTTTTAAGCAGAACAGAATTAACCGAACAGTTTTTAACTGAATGCTGTTGTTGCTGTTTTCAGACACAGGAAATCAGAGAATGGTCAGTTTCATGAAGACTGATTAATAAAACAACTCACATTTGTTTTAAAATTACAACAGAAATATGTGAAAAGTGTCTCCTCCTCCCCTGCGCCAACCCCTTCACAGAGACTGTGTGAATACAGTTCATTAACTCTTGGGACTGTAAGATGATAGTCAGGATTTCCTGATAAGCCCTCATGCAAATGACATAATTCCTTTTGAAGAGGAAAGCCAGAACAAGTTCATTTCAGATTTCCAAGAACAAAACAATCTCACATTCAAAGAAAGTAGAGTCAATAATGTTGGTAAGATTTTTATGAAAAAAGTACTGGGAAAAAAGCAAACTTGGATAGGATTTAACATTCAAAATGTTAAGCTAGAAGAACTTTGATATCACCTAAATGCGATCATGTAACAAAAACAAAATTTAAAACCACATGAAACTTTTATTTTTTTAAAACAAAGAATGAGGCTCTCTCTCTTAGAGCAAAAGAATATTTTCAAAGTTTAACATACAGGGAAAAAAAAAAAACCACCCTAAAATAGGTAACATTTTTAGCAAGCTGGTTTAACACTCTGTCACTTTGCAGCTGAACTTCAACAAAAATAGCTCATTTTAATCCCTTACATAAGAATAACAGATGTGCTGGCTGCAAATCACGTTTTTGAAAAAGACAATCTTTGCAGTATACATGTAGATCATGTCAACCTTATAAACAAGCATGCTTCCCACACACAAATTGCCAGATTGTAAAATTTTTAAACCTATCTATTGTCTTTCACACAACTATTATTTTGCTGTTTTAAATAAATATTAGGCTCACAATAAATTAAGTCAAGTTCTGAACAAGTGGGAAAAAATCTGTTTTTCACAAAAAATATAAAACACTTATTTTTCTGTAATTCTTGCATACATAGCTATGTTCACATTCTGCACACTTTTAGGATGCCCAAAGAGAAGCCTCCAATCCTCCCTCATAATCCCATCCTTAAGTAAACCACCTTGTCAGGAAATTTGTTCCTTCAGCTAACTACACCACCTTCTTAAAATCATGTCCTCTCAGTCTGCTCTCTTTGGAGAAGGAGAATATCTGGACGAGAATAGCTGTTTGTCCTCTGAAGTGACCTTTCACGTTGAAGGCTCTAACTAAGCCAACCCCAGACTTCCCTTCCTGGGAAAAGAGTTCACCAGTTCTTATTTCTTTTGTCTACACAGTATTTGCCTCCTTACAAACTGTGCTGAATCACTTTTCTTTTATCAGTCTCCTTGGCTTTCTGGTAGGCAACTGATTAGTTTAAAATGCAAAATTACAGCATTACCTACTTATTCAAGAACTACTATCTTGCAAAATATGAACAAGTGGGTGAAAGGGGATGTAAATATCTTGATCAGATTAAAACATCCTGTCCCAAACTTGGCTAGCATTTTAATTGTGGCCAAAGAGCCCGAAAAGAATTTCACGTTACTGACCATGCATTCTTGTGATCAAGATTTCAGTGTGGGTAAAAATATTATCGTATACCACACTACCCATTTGTAATCAAGGACATCCTCACAGTGTATTAGCAAAACATAAAAGGAAAGAACTGCTTATCACTTGGGTATGCTGGAGCCAGAATGTTGGAAGCAGATACTTTCCTCACTACTATATGACCAAAAAATGTTCAAAATTAGCCTGTGAAACACAAATAGTTTTATTTTGATTTTCTAATATTGAAGTACAATATAGTATATTTTTTTATTAGTTTCAGAGATAGAGTTTAGTGATTCATCAGTTGCATATAACACCCAGTGCTCATTTTATCACATGCACTCCTTAATGTCCATCATCCAGCTACCCCATTCCATACCTACCTCCCCTTCAGCAACCCTCAGTTTGTTTCCTAGCACTAAGTCTCTTATGGTTGGTCTGCCTCTCTGATTTAGTCTTGTTTTATTTTTCCCTCCCTTCCCCCCATATGTTTTGTTTCTTAAATTCCACATGAGTGAAATCATATAATAATTGTCTTTTCTTGACTGATTTATTTCACTTAGCATAATACCCTCAGTTCCATCCATGTCCTTGCAAATGCTAAGTCAGAATGACTAAAATTAACAAGTCAAGAAACAGCAGATGTTGGCAAGGACGCAGAAGAAGGGGAACTCACACTGCTGGTGGGAATGGTGCAGCCACTCTGGAAAACAGTACGGAGGTTCCTCAAAAAGTTAAAAATAGAGCTACCCTTTGACCCAGCAATTGCACTACTAAGGGATTTACCTAAAGGATACAAACATAGTGATGCAATATAACATCTTAACTTGTTATTTACAGTTCCACTTTTATTCATGTTAAACAGCTGGTGCAATCAGAAAACTCATCAAGAACTGGCTGCTTGCTGTTTTTTTTTCCAAACAACTTCATTATGGTATCATGAATATAAAATATATATACCTGTTTTAAATGTACATGTAAATTTATTGAATTGTGCATCTATCACAACGTAATTTTAGAGCATTTGCATCACCCCCCAACATCCCTTGTGCCCACTTCTAGACTCAGACAACCACTATTCTGTCACTATCAATTTGGCTTTTCTGGACAACGCAACATATGGTCTTTTCTGCCTGGCTTCTTGTTCTTGAGGAACATTCATGCTATAGTATGGGTCAGTATTTCAATCCCTTTTACTGCTGTCTAGCATTCCATTGTATGGATACAACACATTTGCTAACCAATTAGTGGCCATCTGCTGGGTTGTATAGTGAATTCATGTTTAACCTCTTCAGAAACTGCCAAACAGTATTTCCAAAGTAGCTTCACCATTTAAATTCCTATCCGCAATGAATGAGGGTACCAATTTCTTCACATCCTTGCTAATATTTTCTTTTTTATTATAGTCTATGTTACCATTCTACTTTAAATAAATGCAATTGAATATGTTTGGAAATTTTGATATAAGTTCACAAGTCCTCTTAAGATGCTAAACAGTGCTAGAAAACCAAACTGATCATTATTGCTGTACAAACTGATAACCTCTGAAGGTTTCCAGAAGGTAATAACAGAAACAGGTCTGGTAGAGGATGTGGGACTGAAGGAGAGGAATTTCTTGTTTTTGTCATTTATTTTTTTGCTTATTTTTAAAAATTTTATATGTTTGCTTTTGTTTGATGGAAGACACACTTTTATGAAAGCCAATGGGAATGACCCAGTTGAAAGGGAAGGCTTATAAGTACCAAAAATAGTAATAATCTCTAGTATAAGATTCCTGAGGAGTCAGCCTGAGAGTGAAACCAGAATGTGAAGAAAGAAAGAAGAAAAGCACTTCTCTTGCAGCCTGAGAAAGAAGGGCATAGAGTAGATGGACAGCGAGCAGTGTCCTCTCCCACACCTCCTATTTTCTTTGTGAAATAGGAAGTGGGGGTCAGCTGTGGACTCAGATATTTGCAGCTGAGATAGCACTGCAGAGCCCAGGCGAGGGAACTGACATGAGAACCCAGTGGATCCCCAGGTGACATTCAGGGCTTCTCAAAGGCAAAGGACCAGGATGGACTAGTAGTGGGACCTATCTGCCTGCCTGAGGACTTTTCCCAGCACCCCGAGGCAGCTGAGAGACTCACTC